GCTGTGCTGGCAGAAGGCACTTCCTGCATGAGCATCAACACGAACAGGTGTTTGTGTTCAACTTCACTTCCTGTCCTGCAGATGCAGATTTCAGGTTTAACGCCCGGACTCCACACAGGAAATAGCATTTTTTGGTCTCTCAGTAGGAACCTGTGCTAACGTCTGAACTCACACAGGCGTGTCTGCTGATTCTATGGCAGTGGTTGTTTATGGGAAAGGCGTTCAGACTGATGAAGGTCTGAGCAGAGCGGTGTGAGGAGGAGGAGACAGCGCTCCATCTCCTTAAAAAGGCAAACGCAGCAGGGCGGGGGGACCGGCTGCTGAAAACAGGAAGAAGAATGTTTGGACTGTTGTGTCCGGACATCAGGCAGCAAAGACCAACCCTTTTATGGTATTATGGACAGAGGAATTCTGGGAAATGTAGGAGGTGAGAAACAGGAAGGAGTGAAACATGAAGATCTCACTGAGTCCTGAAACACGAAGCAAGACTCATTAGAGCCAGTGTCAGCTTCCTGTGGTCAGCAGCACTGGAAACAGTGACGATGGTTCCTGTGTGGCTTCATCAGGACTTCTGGTGCACTCGAGGCTTGCAGCGTTTGTTCGTGCACAGCTCTCTGAGCTCTGCACCCCGATTGGACCGCTGCAGCAGCTCAATTCTTTCCTTTTTCAGTCATTCTAGAGATTTGCTGCCGTGCTCAGATCTTTGTCCTGCTCATGACCCGGTTTGGGATGGACGGCCTCGCGCTGATACACTTTGGCGCACTTGGTGCTTCGTTCTAACGCATCTTTGCTAACCGTGCCTCTGAAACCAGCCATGACCTGTGACCTTTAACCTGCTCACTGAGGCCTGTAGAGTCTGAGCTCAGGGTCTGTCTTTGGGGTGGAGTTGGTGGGGAGGAGATTGTATCAATACACCTGAAAGCTGCAGAAAGTCGCCGTACTCTCACAGCTGATGATCAATAATCAGAGGATTGATTATCAGCTGATTATCCGCACCTGGCTGCTGTGGATTCCTGAGGGAGCGGTGAGGGTGGAGTTAGGTCACTGATCGGTTGTAGTTTGGAGCAAAGAAGCTCTCCTATTGGCTGAGAGATTCGAGCGAGTCGAGGGTTCATCAGGAAATACATCACTGACACTGAGCACTGAACAGGTGACCTCCTGTGTGAATCCTGAGCAGTTCATCATTCTTGGTAACGAGCCTCTTCTCCATGGAGACGGTTGCTGAGGCTGATGGGTATCGTAGTGTTTGGAGACGAGGCGCCGGGCAGAGGGAGGAATGTGTCCGGGTCTCTGCTTCTCCTTAAAAGGAAACTTTACTACAACCAAATCAAAACTTCCTACAACAGAGGCTCCGCCCTCCTTACAACTCCTCAGGAACAGAAAGGCCAGGGGAAAAAATGAGGAGAAATTCAACCTAAAACCACAGACACCAGGGGAAGTGTCTGTCTGTGGCTCCAAATAAGGAAGGAGGTCAGTAAATAAAGGAGACTTTGCTCCAGCCCTCCTCCTCCTCCTCCTCCTCCTCGTGTAAAGGGAGGAAGCACAGTGGGTGTGGCGGTGGCATCCCGCTGCTGTCCTTGTTTAGCTGTGCAGCGTTCATCCAACACATCCTTCACTGCTTCATGCATCACCACAGCATTTCTTCCTCTTTAGCTCCACCGAGCAGAGGTCAGAGGTCAGAGGTCACCTGCTAAATACCCCAGAAAGAGACTTAAAGCATGCACAGAGAGAGAGAGACAACTGCAAACAGAGGATCAAATACACAGACTGTATATAAACAAGGGCTGGCTTTTATTCTGTAGCGCAGCCTTCTGGGACGTGTTGGTACGAGAGCCTCACAGCAGGAGCTCAGTGTGTGGGTCTGTCAGCTGCTGCTGAGCTGGACGAGCAGCTGACAGCTCCTCAGCATGACTGCAGGGACAGTTTAAAGGCGGACAGTGACGTGAGGAGCTGATGACGTCTGAGTCAGAGCTGATATTGAACAGAAATCAGAGGGACGTTTACTTCTTATATTTCCATACGTTGATTATCATCTGCATGCACAGTTTCACACTCTCACACTGCAGTGGGGGAAATTTATGGTTCAGCATCCAGCCAAAGGAGCTTTAATGCTGGGAATGCTGGACTCAGGGTCCCACGTTGAAGACAAGTGGAGTGCGTGCTGCATTCAGGACGCGCTGTAGCGTAAACAGATGATGTCACCTCCTTGGCGTGCTGCTGAGGCGTGTACAGTCTGTGTATGAATGAACACGATACACAGCCATATGAGGAGCTGCGAGCGCCAGTGAAAGGGGGGGGGGGGTTACATGGACAGTATGGCGGTGAGGAGAAAGTACCTGGAGATGAAGAGTGACGCGCATCAGAGAAAGGTTCAGCTCTTCAAAAAGGAGGCGCTCAGTATCCAGGGCCAACCGTGTCACTGTTTACAGTTTTAGAGTGACCTTTGGCCCCCAGCACTCGGCTCTGTTTTGAAGTCTGATGTACCTTTCCAGGTGTCGCCTCTGAGGCCCTCCCTGAGCCGTCGTGCATCAGTCACACCCTCAGAGTCGTTTGTGTTTGCGCTCAGCCCACCGAGAATGTAAATCTGTTGGCAGCAGCACAGCTGAGAATGGAAACAGGCCAGGGGAGGGGTCAAAGTTCATCTGAGAGTCAGCTGGAGTCCGAGCATGCCGAGAGATCCTGAATCCTTCAGACAGGAACCCCGAGGACCACGACCACAGTGCACAGAAACACACATCACTCTATAAAAGTAGAAACTAATAGAAATACACTTCAGACTGCTGTGTGTGTGTGTGTGTGTGTGTGTGTGTCAGCAGCTGAAAGGAGGTCATTCTCTCGGTCTCTTTAAAGACCAGCTGCTGACAGTAAACACAGCTGCACTTCAGCACCTGCTGAACCAGGACCAGGACTGGGTCTCAACGGGGTCACATGTAGTTTGTTAACGTGGTGAAAACAGCAAAAAGAGTTTGAGCTGAAGTCTGTCGCAGCGCTAACAGAAACGCATGCCCACCGTGTCGAGTTTCCTTGGAGACGGAGGGTGAGGACAAGCAGGGTGTCGGGGAGGGCTGAGGTGTGAGACACTGTCAGCAAACAGCGTCTGACCTTTACAGCACGACCCTGGTCCATCCACTCAGAGGCCCAGGAACACCCTGGAGACATGTGGCTGAATAGCTGGAACAGCTGGAACAAACACGCAGTCACCAGTCCGCCACATCAAACATCAAGTACCATCAATATGTCTGCGTCGCTCAGCTCAATATTAAAAGGAGAGAAGAAACACTGAGGACAAGGCGGGTTGCACAGCAGCTTGCAGGTGCCGAGGCCCACCTGAACGCAGGACTCGCAGTAACAGAGCTCACTGTGAGTACGGCGTGCTGCCAATCAACTCCGGCGCATCACAATCCAGGTGACCGCTGCGCTTGGCCATTGCTCAAACACAGGTCTTGCCTCTTCTCTGCAGGTGTGCATGGACCTGCGTGGTCTAGCATCCACCCTTCAGTCGGACAGGCCACGCCCCTAATAATGTAAACTGAAGTCAAGAAAAAGAAAATGCTTCAGCCTTATCTGGCAGAAATTATTTATTATTTAACCCTTTAAGACCTACCAGAGAACCAAGTCCGCCAGAGCTTATATTATATTTTTACATGCTGTGGAGCCATTTTTGGGAGCATTTCAAGTTGCTATACATCAATACAACCATTACAGCCCAGATTTTAATAATATGCATGCATTAAGTGCATAGAAATTACATAAATTGCAAAAAAGTGCAATAAAGTACAAAAAAATTGAAAATCGTTTTTGTTTTATAACATATATTTCTAGTTAGAGAAATTTAAGAGGCTCATCCCTCAAAACTGTAAATACAAAAAAGTTGCACAAAATAGTTTCCCACCACAGGAAATTTATTTTGAGTGTCTTCATAGTTTTATTTTTGAAATTCTATTCTATTTGAAATCCAATTTTTATATACTGCAGGAAAAACGAAAATTAATATTATAGTGCAAATTTGCAAAAAAGCAGCATATGGATCAAAATAAACTATTTCCAGCAGTGCAATATGAGTCCTCAGCATCCCAGAAACGACACAGAAAGTCATAAAGTCAAAGATAACTTTTAAAAACACCAGTATAGGCTCATAAGACCCTGATGGTAAAAAACTACATTTCCGCGAAAATGATGTCACTTCCGGTTTCGGACAGGTCATGGCGGACATGCGATAGTTCATGCTGATGGACATAGGAAGTGTTACGAACAGCTGATCAGATCGGCAAAGCTGTTTCTGGAATATTATGTTTTAGTTTCTGCAAGTGCTTTTTATGCAGTTTTTGCAAAGCTATATGTGGAAGGAAACCGTGACCGAGGACAAGCTGATGGCATCAGATGTAAGTACAACTCCTCCAGTTTCATATGCAAAAAAATTATTGCGCTAGCTTACGTGGTTGCAGAGCTACCGGGATTTAAAAATAGTTACGCAAAACGGAGCATGCCCGCTCTGACCGGCTTTAAAGGGTTAATTATTATTTTAATTTTGGTTTATATCCCAGCTGTTAACGTGGAGGGGGCAGGGCTTATGAGGCATACCGCCAGCAGCCTGCAGGGGGCGATGCACGTTTCATTCATTCATCATTGTAACTGCCAGAGGAGTTGCTCTTCAACACCAATCACAGTGAAAGTAGGACTTTCACTGAGTAATCTGATTACTCTGGCTGTGTAATCTGATTACGCTCGCTGTGTAATCTGATTACTCTGGCTGTGTAACCTGAATACACTGGCCGTGTGATCTCTAGGAGCCCTCGGCACTCCTCTCTCTCTGAGGAATGCAGTGAATGATGGGAGAAAGTCCGGGGGCACCACCAGCCGTGTGATTGGCTGCTTCCCTCGAGGCCTGCCCTATAAGGACTGAAGCAGGGGAGAGTGGGGGAGGCGCGGGGGGAGAGAGGAGACGGGAGGGGGCTCAGAGCCTTGTTTGGGATGGAGGGATGGATGGAGGAGGTGGAGGCTTGATAAACTCAGTCGCAGCTCTGCAGACTCTCACTTCTGTCCTGCCCCCGCCCCCACATCCCAGCAGGCCCTGCACCACCACGGTAAGACCTCCACCACCTCTTCTTCCTCACCTGGCTGCCTGTGCGTAAGTGTGATGAAGCTGCCGTTCCTCCTCTCTGCTCCTCTGCTCTGACACTTTAAAAATGTTGCAGCTCCTTCTCTGTCTTTACTTCACCTCGTCTACCTCTTTTATTTTCTCTACAGTTCCATGATTTCACCTCCTCCATCACCTCCCAGTTTCTTCTCACAGCTCACCTCCTCCAGCACCTCCTCACTCTCCTCCTTTCTGCTCTTTCTCATGTAAAACTGTGTAAAAGCTATGGAACCTTTTTCACCTCCTCTCCATTCATTAAGCCTCTCCTCCACCTCCTCTGTGTCCTTCTCTGCTGTGCTCCTCGTGGTTGTAGTGAACAGTGAGAAAGTGGCACCTTTCACCTCCTCTCTCCTCCTCCTGTTGCTCCTCGCGTGTTTTTCCATGTTTCAGGTCGTTGAAACTTTGGTGTTTCTCGTGTGTGTAAAATTGGACTTTTTCTGACTGAAGTTTGGTTCAAACTGAAACTTTAATTGAACATTGATCAGATTAAATCCTCATTGAGCTCTGCAAAGCTCTCCGATCAGCTTTAAATGTATAAGAGAAACCTGTGGACCATTCCAGCCAGCAGGGGGCAGTGACTCCCCCCACAGAGTGAAATTGGTGAAAACTAAAAATACATGAAACATTTCTCATGCTTCAGATGTCCCAGAGAAATTTGAAGAACATAAAGAAAAAAAATCAAATGTAGGCTGAAAAATATATATTTAAAAACTGAAATATTGATTAAATACAAAAAGAAAATCAAATATTAACTTGTACTTGAACACAGGTATGGGGAGTGTGTCTGTGTTTTCCATATCATTTCTGAATTTTGTTTTTTGGCACAAACAGGCCTCCGTAGCCTCGTGTGAGGACGAGTGATGTCTTTACTTTTGCCTCTCAGCCGTGTGTGTTTAAAGTTTGAACACACACGGCCTCGTGTGTTTACAGCACACCTACGGCAGCACAGAGACGTGAAAACACAGTTTTTATGATTTTAGCTAAAGATCAAAGCAGATTTTTTTTCCTTAAAACTTTTTCTACAAATTGAAGAAAGGGAAAGACGTGAAACACACATGTAGTTGTAGCTGTAAAACCTGTCAGGGCGGTGCAGCAGCGCCCCCTGCTGCTCACAGCCAGTTTGAAATCTGCAGAAAAAATGTTTCATGGTTTAAAGGGTAAATTTGAAAGGTTTGTGTTTCATGCAGCGTGCAGCTGTGCTCGCCTCTGCATTAAACATCTGGATGACAGTTAGATGAAATCAGCTGATGCTGCAGGTTTAGTTTGGAGTTTATGCCACAGATGTCGAGCGAAGCTGGCAGGCAGGACTGAGGGCAAACTGAGCCCACGAGCTCTGCTGGAGGGAAAATCAGAAATATTCAATTCCCAGATTCATGACTAAATATGGACAGATGTGAGGTGAGGAGGCGAGGAGACGATGAGGGACACATGGGGAGGGGAGGGAGGCAGAGAGAGCACAGGGAGGGAGAGAGGGCGAGCGAGCATACCAAACACAGGCAGGACTCTGCTTCATGTCCTAATTAGGAAGTTTTCCCAGAGTGCCTCATGTTTGGGGGGGTGCTGCAGCTGGATGATGTGAGGTCCTCGGGCAGGTTTCCCTCTGTGCGGACGATCCATTTTAACCTCACTGCTTCAACAGGAGCGTCTTCTTACCTGCTGAAGGTCATGTCAGCTCACTGCGCCATCTTGTGGTGGAGCGCGGTACTGCAGGGACCTTCAGCCTGGCTCGGTGTGACCTTCAATGTCACACCGAGCCGGGCTGTGTCGAAGTTGCCTTTCCCTGCTCACTTCCTGCTGAAGCTTTAAACTGTCTCCAAAAGCACAAATGAACAAAAATGTCGAGTGGTTGGATCTCCGTCAGAGCCGTGAGCCCTCACAGGCCGCCGCGGCGCTGAGGGCTCAAACAGAATAATGTTGGGATGTGACACATGTGGATGGTTTGAGTGGCGAGCGCTCACACACGCCTGCCGATGATAAGTAATTGAACCTGCGTCTTCTTCTGCCTGCAGTGTGACTCGGTGTCGTAGTGTCGTTGCTCGTCTACAGCGCCCCCTGCAGTCATGTGTGATGACGAGGAGAGCACCGCTCTGGTCTGCGATAACGGATCCGGTCTCTGCAAAGCCGGATTTGCCGGAGACGACGCTCCCAGAGCCGTCTTTCCCTCCATCGTGGGCCGGCCCCGGCACCAGGTACAAACACACACACACACAGGGACATATGCATACAAATGCACAGAAACAAACACACACACACAGAAACAGACACACACACATGCATATACAGATACACAGGGACACACACATACACACGCACATCCAGTTACAAATGTCGGGATTATGACTGTAATATATTATTGAAGAATCAGGGGACAGCGAGGTTAGTGGGCACAGGTGAGTACCAGACAGTAAACTGAGCGCGCTCTGTGTGGTGCAGGGAGTGATGGTGGGCATGGGGCAGAAGGACAGCTACGTGGGTGACGAGGCTCAGAGTAAGAGAGGAATCCTGACCCTGAAGTACCCCATCGAACACGGCATCATCACTAACTGGGACGACATGGAGAAGGTGTGTCTCACACACGCACACACACACACATGGACGCGCGCAAACACACACACACACACACCTGTGTGACTGCTGCTCTGCTCTCTGATTGGTCAGATCTGGCACCACTCGTTCTACAACGAGCTGCGAGTGGCTCCAGAGGAACATCCCACCCTGCTGACTGAGGCGCCACTCAACCCCAAAGCTAACAGGGAGAAGATGACACAGGTACTACACTCTACTACATGTACCACAGTAATGCAGTGCTATAGTATAGTGCTATACTATAGTATATATATATATA